CGAGAGATGACAATGAGCGACGACTCGGAGCGTGATATGCGGCCTCGGGCGGCCGTGGGTAGTCGGGCCTCGGGCGATCGTGGTAGTCAGGGTAAAGGATGAGCCTCTAGCTATAGTGACATGAGGACCGTCTAGGAAGAGGATTTTTTGTTCGTACCCTCATTGGTCTTTCGACGATGGTTGCGTCTAGAGTGATGGCAACGGCGATTGCGCGCGCCACCAAGCCCGACGCCTATCCGCCCTTAGCCGCCAGGACAGCTATCGCCCATCGTTCCACCCCCATGTAGCTTTACGAAGATTAATATGCCCTGCTTATGCGACATACGTTCTCTGGGCTGTTTTCCCTACTCCTACGTGGGCTATGTGCCTGCCAGTGCCGTGGAAATGATGATGGATCACAATTACAGTGAGATTATTTTTCTTGAGACGTCCACCACTAAAGATCAAACGGCCCCTGCCATTCATGATCATCAGCTGCAGCAGATGCATAGCCCACAGAATTACTGAAGCGGCCTATAGTTCAAGCCGCGAGAAGTCGGGTACACACTTCCTACGCAAAGTTACACCGATACTGAGAATATATTGACATACACACGCAATAAATAATGGGCTTAATAGATACACTCGGTTCATCAGATCTGAACTCTCAATCGTTGATATCCGGATTTATAAATCACCCTTGTGCGTCTTTTCCACAAACACTGCGAGTGGGATTTCTTCTCCTTTGGATCCTCGTCCCGATTCCCAATCTTCATTCTTGCATACTGGCGAGAATACTTGTGGTTGAACGCTTGAGCTAATGGCAGGAGAGTTCAACGTCTCGTTGGTGCGCACGTTCGGATTCGGTCGCCATGAGCCTTGCAAAGGGTTGCTGGACGCTGCTGCATCCCGTTGCTGCTTGTAGCTCGAGCTCGAGCTCCACACTGTCGACTAGTGAGCCAGACGGCGGTAACGGTCTGCAAAAAAGAACTCACCTGTGGCAAATACTACGCCGATGATCGAAACGTAGTAATTGGTGAAAAGAAGGAATATAGTATTGACGATGTAGTTGGGATCAGTGTAAAGATCGATGATGAGAATAATATTGAAGATAACTGTAAGCAGACGTTAGCGAAGCTGCCGGCCAAAGAAAGGTTAGCCGCTTACCAGGGAAGACAAAGTTACCAAGTGCGATCCAAAATAAGAACTTAAGACGGGAGCTGAGCGAGTTCGACGAGGATTGCGCGAAACGGTTTTGGTCATTCGGGCGGCGCCCAGACATGGCGTTGAAGATCTGGCTGCGGTATAGCCTCAAGATGAAAAGAGCAGACAGGTAGCTACCGACAAAGCGTGAGCAATCAGTTCGACATGTTGGATAGAGAGAGCCCACAAGTTGTCAAATATTTGCAGGAACCACTCCACCTTGGTGTACGGTGAATGCCTGTAGTCCACGGTCTCGGCGGCTTGCAAGGCAGAGCCTGCGTGCTCTGTCTCCTTATCCCACGTATGGTAGTACGCAATCACACAGGATAGGCGGACGATCTTCACGGTGATCGGGAAAGCGAAGACCGCAGCCAGCTTCGCCTTGGGTGTCTGCGAAGGTGGAAAGACAACTAGGAGTCGGAGAGCAAGCACAAGGTCTGCAAACCATGGCGCAATACCAAAGACGACTGTGAATGCGGAGATGTCGACCGAGCTGACCGGTTTTGTGGTGCGCAAAATGCCTAAGAGCTTTCGAGACTGTAAGTCTTCGCGATCCAAAGCACGACCGAGGTACACTTACCACGATCTGATTATTCCAGATCGCTATGGTAATGCCGAATAGAATCATGATAACATTCATAATGAACACTGACTGACGTCGTGTAGTGGAGGTGGAAAAATAGAAGAGACAGATGAGAATAGGAACGAGCATCGACCCGAATATTGTCCCGATGAGCACGAAGCCGAGCGGTGTACGTATCCCATTGGCATACCCCTCCACGATGGATGCGATAATCTCAGGCGGGATTTGCGGAACTGCAGAAGCAGTCGCATTGCCTGCATCGCCGGCGGAGGCGGTAGCGTTCATAGCTGACATTGGCTGGGCCGACGGGAGAGCTAGGATGTTATGTGATGTGATGCGGTGAGCAGCGATGCCTATATACTAGTACCAATGTCATGATCATCGGAAAGGTGCTGTAGGAGACCAAGGTATTGCGTCGGTGCTTGTGGAGGCGTGCATCTGACTGAACAATCCCATTGAGTAAAACGAGACGTCGTGAAGTGACCGATTGTGGCTGAACTCTCCCACTGTGTACACTACAAAACCATTGTATGTCTCCGCCGCGATCCCACATCATAGAGCTGCACAAGCTTCAGGCACGTCTAGAGCTCCAAAACTCACAGACTTCAAGGCCTAATCAGCGATGATATCCCGGGCAAGGAGGTTCTGATGATGATCGCGCACTACATGCGGCATGCACTATCTGCGAAGCTGATGGCAACTATCCCGCAAATTTGTACCATGATGTGGTGGGCGAGTAGTCAGATGTCGGCAGGAGCTGTTGAAAAGACGCACCTCGGGCCAATGTAGCAGGGTTTCGATGGGTCGAAAGTTGAACTTGACGGCGAGACAGCGGAAACTTTGCTGAGAGGCGAGGTCAAAACGAGCTGCTAGAAATTGCGATATCCTCTTTAGGATCAGTCGGCAGGCAATAACGAGGAGGTCTTAGGCCAAGCCCGAAACTATGAGGCGAGATGGAGCCCATAACTACTGTTAAAACCATATGGTCATACTGTGGAGTCCCAGTCTAGACAAAGAAAATAATCCCTACCGGTACCACTTTCTGGACATTTCAAGTAATCCTGTGCGTCAAATAGTCTAAGATCATGGATGCAGATAGCTCGGGAACGGCCAGCACACCCAACTGCGAGCACCAATGTCTATCATGATGCACGATGCATGCGGTGGAGACGATACAAGGATATAGATGGACTGATTTAGATGCAGCTGTCCGCTGAATTGTGCAGGCCGTTCTGGATGCTCAACAATGTTGAGCGGCAGAGATTACGGAAAGAAAACAAAACAAGGGATGAACGGGGGCGGTGTGAATGCAGAATCCTTCGATTGTATCGAATGCCGAGCCCCCGGAGAAAGATGAACAAAGAGGGCACGAACGTAAAAGCCTCCTTCTTATCAAGCTGCAGGGATAATAATCGAGGAGCGCAGTAGCAACGCGGCAACGGGGACCTGGCTCTGCGAGCCCCGGCTGTCAGGGGCAGTCTGTAAGTGAGGAGGGGGGATGTCCGAGGAGAGACCTCCTGAGTCTTCTTGGACCAGTCCATGCGAAGGAAGCGGGAATGCAAGCCATTGTGGCGGGACTGTGCATGATCAGCGACATCGATCATGACGGAGGTCGGCCAATCTATTTGGTTCTCTGTTTACATTTTATCCCAGATAGGAAACATACTTGAAGTAGTAATTTCACAAGCCATCTGTAGCAACGCAGACGCCGCGCCGCAGTTGCCCTTCGAGCCGTAATGCACGGCTAGTAAGGCATGCCTCATGCAATATCGACCACTCCACGTGGCAAATAATGTCACGCTTTGGGACGCGGGGAAAGCGTGACGGAAGAAGAAAGATAGGGAAACTAGTAGTAGTCTCCCCAGTCTAACCTGTGTTGCTGTGCAGTCCCGGGCAGGGCACGAGGATACGTGTAAGTGCGGCTCGGCGGGCACTCGTCGATGAACATGCCGCACGACGCATCTTCTCGCAGGGCTGAGCCGGCAAGGGGGACGAGTGGCTCTCGTACGTGGCAGTAGGAGAGATGAAGGGTGGGCAGCGCAACGCGCAGGATCTGGCTTGCATCCTACCCGTTGCAAACCTTGCAGCAGAGCACGCACCAGCGCATACAGCTTCGCGCGCGCACGTGCTATTCTACATCGAGAGCAAGAGTGTCGCGCGGGCTCCGCAAGGTCGAGGCTAAACAGGCCACCTCACATACGGCCTCCGCGTACAAAGTCTTCAACGAATGTAATGCTCAGGCAGACCCTCTCCTTAAATACAGTAAAGACAGACAACACCATACGACAGCTTGTATGACAGACAGTGAGCTGACAACTCGGGCCGCATCACATGACAGCGACACCACCAAAGCCCTCCGCGAGCTTCGCCCTTTCTTTGACATTGTGGTTCCGGATGGCCCTGATGAAGCCGTCTCAGAAGATCCATGGGTCGTGGAAAGACAAGGTGACAAGACGTACAATGCGCACACGGCGCCCAGCGCCGAGCAGATGAGCGGGATGAGGAAGATGGCTGTGATAGCCCTGATCGATGCCTCACGGACATGTTCGCGGAGACCGTCGGGGAGCGTCGCGATGACGGTGACGCTCTGCTTGAGTGCGTCGACGAGCTCAGGCGTCAGGCCCTGGACGCGCGAGAGTTCGCTGCTGAGGCGGTTGTTGTAGATGGTGCCAGCGACACTGCCGGGGATTCGTGTCAGTGGCCATGCACGCGTGCAGTTAGCTTTGGGCGTACCTCAAGCCGATGAGTCCCCCAAAGTTCGAGATGAACATCTACGAGGTAAAGTTCATACCAAGACCTTCGGAGATTCGCAGCCGCTTACCAGAATAGCCGACGCCCGAGTGGTCTCCTCGACCTCGTCTGCCCACTCGGCCTGCACAGCGACGAAAGAGGACTGGTACGAACCGCCTGTTTACGTGTCAGTAGTCGCAGATAGTGCTTGCAACGGTGTAACATACCAAGACCTGCCTGCGAGTAGATGGTTAGTCTTTATTGCAGCTCACAAAAGAAGAAAATCTGGCGCACCCCCATAAGGATTTGAAAACCGATGAGCTTTGCGTTGGAAGTTGAGGCGTCGGACGTGAATATCAAAGCTGCGCCAGCAACGGTCAGCAACGGTGTGACGAGCATGATGTGCCAGTATCGGCCGGTAGCCTGGTAGTGAAGTCAGTCGGTTGAATGCACGACTATGTAGCAGACGAATGTATACCGTGGTAATATATGATGCGACACCGGAAGCTATATAGCATATCAGCACGTCACGACGTGGAGGCTGAAGGTGCACTCACAGACAACGAAGGAAAGCATCAGCGGAAGCAGGTTAATTCCCGATTGCTCGCTGCTTCTGCCGTTGACTTGGTACCACAGAGGGAGATAATACTGTCATACAACGGAACTAAGCGCTATTGTCTGCGTACTCCACATGCAACATACCACTGAGACGATGAGAGACGTCAGCAGCCAGAACTAAACCGCAGGGTCAGCTCAAACTCCAGGCTAGTGGAGTAGCTACGCACCGCTTCCAGTGAAGCACCACACTGCGTCCGCCTGTGGAAGATGGAGTACGGTACCAGCGCCTTCGAGCCACGAAGTCCTTCCCAAACGACAAACGCGACAATGGCCACGCCGGCTATGCACAGTGGCGCAATGACAGCCGGGCTTTTCCACGGCTTGACGGACCCGCCCCACTCAAGGCCGAGCAAGAGACACGCCGAAAATCCGAGACAGAGGACGGTACCGACCCAATCGAGTGCGCTGTGCGAACATGAGCTGGCGAGAACGCGGCGAGATGGCAAGGGCGTACTGGTTGAGACGGGAGAGGAGGCCGCGCCCGGCCAGCACCGAGTTGTGTGGCTTGCGGTATGGGAGCCAAAGGAGCATGATGACTACGCTCAGGCCGCCGATCTATGGGCAGTGGTGAGCACCGTCTGGAGATATTGCACGATGTGACGCACCGGGAGGTTAATGTAGAAGCACCACCTCCAAGATACATGATCTGTTTGGATTAGCAGATGCACGTCCCTTACAGAACATTTCCACCCACCGGTAAATGCTCCACCTACGTGCGCAAAAGTCAGAATGCGCTTCTCCTAGCGACAAGCTGCGGCCTCTTACCTAGCAGGGGGCCAATGATACTCGCTACCGCAAGCAACGCGCCGAACGCGCCGAACAGAGCTGGACGGTCCTCAAGCCGCGTGAACTAGCCGAAGCGCGCGTCAGAACCGCCAAAAAAAAGGTCGGCCAGGTTACGCACAGTCGCAATAGTCGCAACGGAGCAGATGGTGATGCTGCAACAGTCCAGTCAGTCATCAGTCGTTCCGAAGTCTAAGTTTGAGCGTCAAACACTGACCCAGCAGCGCCACATCCAGCCACTGCCCGGCCGAAGATCAGCACCCGCATCGACGGAGCCTAGACACAGTTCAGTACAAAGGCACCCATGAAGCGGCTGGCCTGGCTCACCGCCCCACATAACACAGACCCGAGCTCGAAGACAACGATGGAAATGACGTAGACGGTCTTGATGGGTATCGTGTCGACCAGTTGCCCGACGCAGAGCATGAGCCCTGCTTGGGTCAAGAAATCTGGCGTTTCGTTAGGACAGAGAGCGAAGGGTGAAGTCGCCGGGTGGGAGGGTGACTTACAAGCTGCGGCGACCCACGTGGCAAGATCGAGCGCGTTGAATACGGAGACGATGCGCGGCAATGCAG